ATAACATTTTGACATCACCAATGCTGGTTAAAAAAAAAGGATAAAAATAAAAACAAAAAACAAAACCCTGACCAAACTGGCAGATATTTCTGAACTATGCCCATTTACATATAAAACATACCCAGAGAATCTCAAAGATGTTTTGTGTTCTTCCTCCATAAGTTAATTTGAAAAATACGTAAATATTTATGCATGTTCATACTTTTTAGGGTGACTTTTGGGAAGGAGATTTTAAAAAAGCATTTCTGCATAACTGTAAAAATGTAGTGTGGGGGAATTTAGAGCAATCTCCTTATGGAAAAAGAGAGAAAGGGAGAGAGAGAGAGAGAGAGAGAGAATGAATAAATTAATTCAGAATCTTATGCTGTGGATTTCGTTTGTATTGCCTGACAGATCATGGGAGTTTAATTTTAATTAAAAATATGGTGCATCATAATCTAATAATCCATAGCCTTACAATGTCATGAAATTTTTGGAAAGCAATAGAAAATTGAAATCAGTCTTGAGTAATGAAATTGTTTTTGTTATCTTCCATGGGTCAGTTTACGATTTACTTACGATTCTTGAAATACTTATGTTTTGTAAATATCCTGATTAAATAAAAACATTAATTTGTTGTGATACATCAGCAGTTGAGTTCAAAACTGACTTCCAAAGGAGTGTTCAGTGGGCAATGCATGGTGCAGGTATAGTAAACAAAAATCACCAACCTGAAGTGGGACACAGGACTTTTTTTTTTTTGTCTTTTCAAGACAGGGTTTCACTATGCATTTTGGGCTGGCCTTGAACTCACTTTGTAGCATAGGATGGCCTCAAACTCACAGAGATTTCCCTGCCTTAGCCTCCCAAGTATCGAGATTACAGGCATGTGCCACCATGCTTGGCTTGCAGGACTGTTTTAATTATGGTGAACTCCCCATTATTATATGTTTATCTCCTCTGAACTGTAACTTGTCTTGTAATGTCTGCTAAGTGGGTTTATCAATCATAACAGCAATACTTTCTATAGATACCAGGTTCTCCGCTTTGTGAAGAGCTTTCCCATGTGGTAGTTTTATCTGTAAAACATTCTTGTGAGCAGCAAAGAAAGAACGATAATTTCTGTTTATGCACATGAAGAAAATCATCCAAGGATGAAGAGATCGTCAGAGGGCGGGGAGACGATGGAGGTGTTAAAAAGGATGAAGATGTTCTATGTGTAGGAACCAACTCCCCGCAGTAAATGGAATCATTAGGCACTGCAAACATTACTAATAAAAATTAAAATTTAAAAATGAGAATGAGTAAAATGATAGAATAAAAAATTTATTATATGTTGATCTGACTTAAAGTAGCAGAAACAAGAGTCATTTTTTGACTATGAATTTAACATTTCCTTTGGAAATATGTACATAAACATGTGTCCTTGGGGTGGAAGGGCAGGTACCAAAGTTGGAGTTAATCTTATAACTGTGTCTGTAGAACTTGAAATAATATTCAGTCTACTAGCTGAGTGTTTTCTACAGCTAGACGTTTGGTTCTCCACATGAAGTCCTTTTTAAAACAAATATGAGATATTTTGAGGATTTGTAATTCTAGGAGGTTGGAGTATCCGTACTAAGTTTTACTTTTCCCCTCTCTGTATCTTTGACCAAGCCTGGAATCTCTGCTGCTCTTCTGTTTCTTGCTATGGTGCCTCCCTCTGTGCTCTCTATCACTGTTCCATTCTCTGCATGGATTAAAAATTCTACTTTTGCGTCTTGTCTCCCATTGGAAAGCTTATTCATGATCATGAGATTTAGATTAGCTACAATTATCAACAGATATAGACATAGATATAGGCAGAGGAAAGGCCATAGTCTAGATAGTTAAGTGGGCAACAACAAGATTTCCCCTTTGTGTTCTGAAGAAAATTTCCCTTTTGCCCTTGAATCTCCTCTCCTCTCCTCTCCCCTCCTCTCTTGTCCTCTCCTCTCCTCTCTTCTCCTCTCCTCTCCTCTCCCCTCCTCTCCTGTCCTCTGCTTTTCTTCCCCTGCCCTCTCCTCTCTTTGTTCCTCTCCCTTTCTCTTCTCTTCTCTTCTCTTCTCTTCTCTTCTCTTCTCTTCTCTTCTCTTCTCTTTTCTTCTTCTCTTCTCATTATGGTTTATGTCTAGATGTCCCCCCAAAGTCTCAGACAGTCATGGAGCGTGGGGTTTTCAGGGGTGGATAAATCTAGAATGTGAAATTGATTTGTGGTGCAATCCTGGGATTAAGGGTGAATGATTGAGGGATCAGGCCACTGACTGGAATGGCGCCATCCTAGTCCTGGTAGGTCTTATACCATATAAGGGACAGAAAGAGCCTTGTCCCTTTTCCCTTATTTCATTTGCTGTCTTCTGCCACCGTGAATGGTTGCCCCTCTGCCATGCCACCCTGCCTTGGAGCCAGCTGATTATGAACTAAAACCTCTACAAACTATGAGTTAAGTAAACCTTCCCTCATTTAACTTTGGCTGTCAAGCATTTTGTCTCAGCAATGAGAGAAAAGTAACTTCTCTTCTAGATTAGCTAGATCCATGAACTAAGTTAATTATGTTCCAAACACTCTGGGTATTAATTTGCTAGTGCATTGGCTTCTTAGTGAGTGGAACTGATAGTACTCTATCATTTCTGTGGGCAGAATATTTACATGGATTTACATTTTGTATTGAATCTTTGATCTTCTTTGGCGTATCTTTCAGCTCTCAAAGCTTGATGCACCAATTACCTAACAAATAGGACCAAAATTAAGAAATGTTTAAATTTTGATGATAGCCTTCAACCAAATTTATAATCTTCTATGCTTTTTGCCCAGTCTATTATCTGTGACCATGTCTTTTCAAACACCAATTAGAGAACAAAGCCATTTTGTCTCTGTAGGCTAAACACTTTCATGGTACAGAATGTGGTAGGTCTTACTCTGGACTCAGCCTTCAGGGAGGATGCTCAAGCTTTTCAAACCAAAGAACCTAACTGGTCATTCCCTGATTCTCCAGGCGGTGAGCTAGTTGTTCCTAAATCACCCATGATGGTGTTTTCATTCATTCATTGCTGATACACCATTCAGTGTTCTAATCTCTGCTTTTCCACTGGAGGAACTTGAAAAGCTGTTGGATGACAAGGCTTTCTAGACAGCAGCAGCTGGGACTTTGGGTAGGCACTTCTGTAAGACTTTCCTGGTGGAAATTTAAAATGCTACTGTATGGACAGAAATAATACTTTGGGTAACTGGAAATTTTTGTTGTCTTTTCAAACTATATGATAAATAAGACTGAAGTCAAGCCATAGACTAGAAATGAGGGTAATATTTTAAAGTCATTTATGTTTTGAACATCAAGGTTACTGTATCTGGATATTTTCAAACATATTATTTTCTTGAAAATTCTATTTGTTTTCCTTGTTCTGAATTTTCCAGAGAAGGGGAACTATTAGTTGACTGAATATAATTTGCTGACACTTTGTGAAAAAAGGAAAACAAACTATGATTAGGAGTTTTTTCCTTGTGTAGTTAGCTATATTAAGATGTATTTATTTTATGAATAAAAAGTTTTAAGAAATTTGGGGAAGTAAAACTTAACATTTCATCACCAAATATGAAATGAGACACATGACATGAACAGTAGCACACATTAAGGTTGACTTGTAGTGGGCTCTTTGTTAAAAACAAAATATCAGCAAGGATTTTTCTGTGTTGTTATTAAAACAGGAGAAACTAAAATAACCTGTTAATTTTCCACACTATGCCATAAAATCATAAACATAGGACTTTTCAATAAAAGGCAACATAATTTTCCCTTTCATTGTTTTAGTAAGTTTATACATAGAAAATTTCAGAATGATTTCACATCATTTTACATTTAGTTCATTACTTTTTTCACCTTTATTCTCAGGTAAAAAGTCTGTCTTGTCTATTCAGCTAGGTTACCAGACGTTTATCAGGATACTTTGCAAATTGTAATCTAATATAAATATACTACTTCTAATGATTGTAAGGAAGTCTCAGAAAAAGCCAAGATTGAGAATCAGGAAGCTTGGCTGAAAATCTGATTTTGGAGACATCATTAACTTATTTGAACTTCTGTTTTGTGATCTGCAAAAATAGTGGATCTTGAAAAAAAAAATATATATGCCAAATCCTTTCCTCAAGCTATAGACTGAGGAAGCTTCATTGAAGATGTGATACATTCAACAGAAACAGCTTTGAGGCCTGAGAATAATAGTTTTGAAGTTTCATATACCCAGGAATCTATTTCCTGGGAAACTTATTAAAAATTATACATTCCTGTGCTCAGTACAGAGATTTTAACTCCTGAGGTCTGTCATGAGGCTCAGAGAGTGCTCAGATGTGTCTGGTACAGATGACATCGGGACAAGCTTTTGGAAATCATTATCTTAAAGTATGTGTAGCTATATGTGTACAGGATTTGTACCCACAGAAGCTACCAGTTAATTAAGTCCAATATTTCCGCCCAAATTTCCCGAAGCTCTGCAGATTTTGAACTCAGTAATTGGTCAAATTTCTGGTGAGTATGTTTTTGGATCAGGCTTAATTCCAAGAAGTGAGCACAGCCTGAGAGTCTAGTCTATTTGTCTGAGACGAAGTACTCTGGTGATAATTCAGGAGGCCTGAGTCTGTCATTCTTTGGTATGTGAAAAGAAGCATGTTACCTCCCTTATTGTGGGGGAACTACATTGCTTCTTTCTAAAATGAGGATGAATAATATATTTTTTCATACATCATTATGATGGACACATAAGATAAAGTCTACAAAGCTGTTAGCAGAGTGTCTGGAATAGAGAGATACTGAACAAACGCTATCTTTGAAAGCAGCAAGTGATAGAGTAAGTAATTTGTAGTACATTTTTACCCTTAAATTTTCAATTTTTTAAGCATCTGTTAATTATTTGTTTGCCATGAGCAAAGTTCTCTGATGTGGTGGGGTTGGGTTACCTGAAAAGTAAAAGTGAATAAGAAGATGAGCAAGGTTTTTTCTGCTTTCAAAGGGATGTGCAGGATGGTTATAGCGGGCAAGCACCAATCAAGACAAGGGCGTGGATGGAAAGCCTTCAGGGTGACTTGACACTGGAAGTGTGCAATCCTTGCTGCAGACGAGGACTGGAGACCCTTCGCAGATCAGAAGAGTCCTGCTCTAGGGGCACAGGAGGGAAAGCTGTGGGGCTTCCTGCTGTCACAACTACAAAGCTCCAACTTTTAATATGTATCACAATCTGCTTTGACTTTCCCTGGCAAGTGGTTGGATAACGCATAAAATGTTTCTGAAAGTAAATAAAACTAAGAAATGATTCTTCTGTTTTTATTTACTTAAAAATTAACAGTGTAACAATTAGCAAGAATAAAAGTGAAGCGAATTCTTAACAAAGGGAGATGCTATTGTCTTCCTGTTCCCACGTGGGAGGAAATGATGTCTATGAATGGACCTGCTTTCTTACTGAATTCTTGCCACCAGTCTCTCTAATGAGAGATCACTTCCTCTGGCAGACTGCTTGGTACTTCTGCAAAAAAATACAGGAATCATTGCCTGGATTAGAGGCATAGGCCATGCAGATAATTTTTTTCTGGAAGAAATAATCTCCTCTCTGTATCTTTCAGAAGTCACTGTTGAAAAGAAAAACATAAAAATATGGTTAAGTAGAGCTAGGATTGATGATGCCTGCACAAATCTGCAACCTAGAGATAAAGAATTCACATTTTATTGTGAAAAGATACAGCACTAGCTAGAGGAGACACAATTCCGTCAGAAACGTGTCCTCGTAGAGGAGGAAGTGGACTCAGACCTCCCTGTTTTCGGCAGCTCCCACCTGCTTCATTAGCAACAGGCAGCATGGTACTTCTAATTAAGAAGTCATTTAAAATAATTTTGGAGAAGCAGGGACATGTCAAGTATGGGAAGTTCCTCATAGAGAATGCTTCAGGGCTAATGATGAGAAGACTGACAGCAGTTGGGGACTTCAGAATCTGGCTCTGGCAGCTTGAAAGTTCATCTAATTAACACCCGTGCTTCAGTTGAAAATAAAGGAACCAATATATGGTCCAGGGCCAGGTAATTTTCAGTGGCACAAAGCCTTTATGTGCTCCAGGAATCTCGCTATTCTAAACTAATCAATATCAAGGGTAAATTCTATTAACAGAGAAATGAACATCTCAACTGCAATTGCAGTGATTAAAAAAGCTCAGAAAGCAGAAGAAGCTGTCAGATTCCCATAGTCATTAAACTAAGAGTAGTTATCCACTAATACCAACTTGAGTATCTCTATTTTGGCTTGTTAAAGCAGTTACACTGGTGTGTGTAATGTACTACCTTTCATGAGTAAAGAAGGTGATAGGAGTCTGTTCTTTCATTCAGCCTCACGGAGAGGACTTGTGACTTAGAAATTCTATTTTTTCACTTACTAAATGAGTGATACTGACACTTTTGTAAGCTTACCTAAGCCTCAGCTTCAATTATGTGATAGAAATGTTAGTGTTCGTTTTCCAGAGCTCATGTGAGGATTGATACATATATATTAGCTATTATTAGTTATTTTTCCAACATTAGGGATTCATTCAAATACTCAAAATATAGTAATTTTGAGTATTTTAGGCTCTGTGTAGGCCTTAAATGGGTTTTTTGTAAACATCTGCGCTACACTGCTTTACTTCCTGGGTTGATAATCAATGGACATTTGTAAAAATGAAAGTATCTCTGTTAAGTTTTAATATTTTGTCCCGGAGGATGCCGTGTCCTCAACCAGTGAAATAATAACATTTTTCAAAATATGACAAGTAGCACTATGTTGGATTGATCCAGATAACTCTTGAAAGGCAAAGTAAAGGTTTCTTCCCAAGAATAAATCTTCATCAGTATTGTGGACTTTGACCTAAATATAACATAGATTCTGATGTTTTCTTTAGAAAAAATTTTCCAATTGAGTTAATCACCATTCTTATGTTAGAACTGCATTGTCTTCTACTTGGTCTTTTCAGCAAACGCTTATTTGAATTTTTGTAATACACACTGTTTAGTTAAAACTCAGATTCATAACCCCTGAAGTTTTTAGCGGCAAGAGCTGTACACTGATTTTTACCTGAGTGGAAAGATTTGAGAAGAGGATGATTTCAGACTAGTCTAGCAGAAATTTTACTGCTTGTTCTGGCCAATTAGAAGGCTTCACATATGCCACTCTAATTTCCTCATTGATAATTTGGAAACAAACTTTAAGTTTCACATAACTGCTAGGCTCTAGACCTGTGAGGACTCGTGCTATTTGTGTTAATTTTCTTACGTACATATGGCTCATAGTGGTTCTCAAGCTTTAGTTACATCGGAATCACCCACAGAGGTTGTTTAGTCATAGATTTCTGGAACCAACACTCTGAGTTTCTGATTCATTATGACCAAGGCAGTACCTGAGAACCTATACTTTGAGTACATTTCTAAGTGATGCTGATGCTGCTGGTTTGGAGCCCATTTCGTGGAACCAACAGATAATTGCTATTGTATCATTTGTCAGATGCTGCAGTTACACTAAGACTAGCCAGGACTTGCATAATGCTTGAGAGCGAAATGCCTTCTTTCCATGCAGTGTCATTTCATCCTCACAGAAACCCTGGGAGGTACACGGTACTATTCTGATTTATAGATGAACATTGAACTGGAACCATTTCTGATTTTTCTTTTCTAATAGGCTGTGAGTTCTTTGAGACCAGCTCCCATATCATGTTCAGTTTTGTATCTACAGCACATGGCAGGTTGTCTGGCAATAAATGTTTGTACAATTAATGGAGGAATTTGCCCTAAGTCACACAGGGAGTTTGTGGTAGAGCCAAGTTTTGAACATGAACTCCTTCAATCATAGTCTAGTGCTTTTTCTACGCTTGGGTTTACCAGTCAAAAAGAAAATTTGCATTCCTACTGGGAAAAAGGCCAAAGTAGTTTTCTGTTTTATCCCGAAATTCTTTGAATTTATAAAAGCAGATAATATAGGTAATTAAAATTCATTTAGAATTACTATATATTGTTAACCATTGAAATACAATATGTCAGGTTATTATTCTCTCTTTCTATCCTGTCTACTTTACCAAATGCAGACAAACCTTACCTTGCCTAGGAGTTTAAAAGAGTAAAAATGATTGTACAAAATAAAATTATAAAAATGATTTTAATAAACAAATGGGGATAGTTATATGACTTCTAATTTTTTTCAAACATTATAGACTTTCTTCTATTTCCTATAAATGTACAGGGAAGTGGAGAAAATAAGAACAATATTACTTTTGTAAATTATATTTAGAAGATGAGAAGAATTAGAATTAAAATATTTATTGCTTTGTACATAACTTATCAAGCACAGTTTGAATAGTGCTTGCTTGTTTGCTTAGCTTGTGATATGGACTCACCCTCTTCTCTGTGCCTTGGAAGATTATTTGCATCAGCTTCCAACGTCTTTTCCTTTGCACTTTCAACGTTGCAAAATGTCTCTGACAGTCTTTTCAGTGTGACTCCATTTGTTGCTGACATTGTTTCCTTTAGTGCATTTTCATTGTTCTCAATTCAGCAGCATTCCATATTTATCTTAATAAATTTACCTCCAGTTTCTTCATTGACTATCTAAAATGTCTCCAATGGTGGCAGTGTTAACTACTTCTGTATCTCTGCAGGATCCATGTGTCAACTTCAGTGTCATCTTTTTCCAAATTATAGCTTCTCCAGATAGTTTAACATTAATCAACTCACGCTGACTTCTAGAACAATGAAAACTGCCTTTCCTGGAAATAAAAGGTCTTTTTTCAATGTTCTTGTAATTGTAGTTTTCTTTTAGCACGGCAGTTGTGTTGCTTTGGCCTGAAGCTTGCAAAACTGATTGGAGTTTGTTTTTGATTATAGTCTTCAATCCAACAGAGAAGTAGACGCTCCATTTCAACCTTAAGTGGCTTTGTATTCCATGTCCAATTTAAGCCATAAGATGCTGAAGCACTGACTTTGTTTTTATATTTTATTGTTATTGGAAGTCTTCAATATAGATCATAGTTAGGGTTAGGGTTAGGCCTAAGATTGTTCTCTCATCATCAACATATTCAAATATTTTTATCACATCATTTTATTTCACTTTTGTTTTTATTCTGTACTTTCATCTCTTATCAGTGAATTTGTTCTTTTGATCACAAACTTTTTAAAAGTGTTATAAGGTTTTTCACTTGTAGAAAAGGAAGTGACATCAGGACATGGTTTTGTATCTGTGTATGAGTTAAATAGCAGATAGGGCTCCATGAAAAACTGACAGAAGTGATGTAGTTAGTCACTGATCATGATGCATATTCAGTCTTATGGACTGACTTGTCACCTGAAGAGTTAGCAGTGAAGTTTGTACTTTATGTAATTATTATACTCATGATTAATACACTGTTAGAAATTTAAGTCGTTATTGGAAGATTGGTATTGTTTAAACCATATTTCAAGAGTCCAATGCATATTGAAAATATGCAAAATTAAGACTACCTGTAACTAGAAGTTCATATCCATGTCAAGATGAAAATGTTTGTGTAATTTCAAAGCCACGTACTGTTAAAATAGTGTCCAAGAATATTTTCTAAGTTGCTTACAGAAACAACTTTCTTTTGTCTCTCAATGGATGATTGAATTAAGAAAATTAAAGATACATATTCCTACATGTTAAAAATATATATCAGATTCATAAAAAAAATCCAGTGTAACTTAAATTAACCTGTAGAGATAAGAGTTTCAACAGCACAACAGAATACACAAAGATAATGTTAAGATTTGGTTACTTGAGTTTCACGCTAGTGTAACTTCCTTCCCACGTTGTTTCAGCCCCTCAGTGTTTTAGGGATAAAAACGAGAAGGACAAAGTGTTCCTCCAGTGTGATAAACTAGATTTTCTGATAGAGGAGAAATTTAGACTTGCTTAAATATCATTTTAAGTCTTGATTTTTCATTTTTTCTATGTGAGAATTTTAATTACTCTACTATAAACTGTTTTAATGAAACATTTGGAAGGCTTTAGGCATTTATTCGTTCATCCACTACCTGGAACCATGCTTTTCAGAGATTTGACACTCAGTTAATATAATTTGTTGAATTCATACTAGATTTTAAGAATGCAAAGACAATAGAGATTGTCTTGTAAGTACAGAGTTGGGTTCTTTTTACATGATTTTTTTTTGTTTTTGTTGAATCTCCAACATCTTACAATGACCATATTAGTAAAGCTAATAATTTATTCAGGGCCTGCAAAGTATCAGAAACTCTCTTAGATCTTTGCTGACATAATGCTATAGTAATTAAAGCCAAGATTGAAGAAAAATATTTCTCTTCCAGAATGATATACTTACACAGTTGTTGT